AAGCCGAACATCCTCTCCGTGATGCCCAGTTTGGTTTTAGAAAAGGAAGAGGGTGCACTGATGCAATCTTTGCACTTCGACAGCTGTGTGAGAGGGCATTGGAATACGACCAAGATCGCCATCTCGCATTTGTGGATCAGGAAAAAGCTTTTGATCGAGTAAATAGAAACAAGCAGCACAGTTAGCAGGAGACCAGACAAAGTGGATATCAACATCAATGGATCCCAACTGAAACAAACCGCGAATTCAAAGACATGGGCAGCATTTTAACAGAAAGTGGTAAATTAGATCGAGAAATAGAGACTAGATGCCGGAAGGCCAAAGCAGTCAGCTACTGTATCAACTCGCCCATCTCCTGAAACATCCTAATATCCGTCCCCATGAGCACCAAGGTGAAGCTCATCAACGCCATTTTTTTTTACCGACGCTCAAATATCAGTGTCAGACATAGTCCCTAACAAAAGCCACCGAGAGAAAGCTGGTCACGCCCGAAATGAAACGTCGATGAAGAGCGGTAAACAAGACAAGACGAGACAAGATATAAAATGAAATCATAAGAGACACGGTAGGAGCAACACCAGTCCTGCCACACATAGAGAAACAAAAGATCAAGTGGTTCGGACACTTCACACAGATGCCTTCAAACCAACCAGCATGCAACATCAGAAATTCTGGCTGGAGAGCCAGAGGAAAACCAAAACGACGCTGGAGCGAATCTGTGGCAGACACTAGACACCTTCAGAGCTCACGGGATGTCCCTCGTACAGGCCACTCGCCTTGCTGCAGACAGACGCCTGTGTCTCCCCATGACACCCACCAGTACAAGCGGAAGAAAAAAGTAAAGTAAAAAGTATGTACACGATACAGGGTATTATGTTGCTGGGTTTGGTAGATGGTTCGATAATGATGTGTACATCACAACCTAATTAGTAGATTCAGTTAGATATTATATAATACCGGGGTATTTTCGAGACTTTTTATTGCTTCCGGGCTGAATAAATTGTACAACAAAATGCCATGGATTGGGGGGGGGGGGTGGGGGGGGGGACAATCATGTCATTTGGGAGGGGGTGGACATGAGATAGCGCAAACTATATTTTTTTCAGTGAGTTTTAAACACTGAAAAATTGTTTGAAAGTGTATCGCATCAAATGCGATACGATTATTGACCCTGCTTCTACGTAACTTACAAATATCCGGCACCAAATTAGGCCCCTAGACATTTAAAAAAAAACCCCTGCTACTAAGATTATATTGTCCTCAACTCACCTACTAAACATTTAGAGGGGGGCTCTCATGGTAAGGTGTTTGCTTCTCATTCAATAAATCCCGGGTTCGAAACCTGACAGCCACGGACAATTTTCATCTCTAAAAATGTCATCCTTTCACCTCCTTTCACCTCCTTCCCTACTCTCTAAACATTGTTCTGTCATCTGCTTTCTTTCTGCCCCCCCCTTTCCCCCTCCTCTGGGCTCCTGACTCTTTCTATTGTTACCGGTACTCTTGGCTCCTTCTTATTGCTGTCTTTCCTTAGGGTAGGTATGATCGAACATCTAGCCTTCTCGGATAAGTACGAAAAAATCAGGGAGGTCCCATGCTCAAGTTGCACATATTAAATATCCCTGAGTGGTCTTAAAATCGACAGGAGCAGGCCTCGACCGACACCAGACAAAATTCAAAATTAATTATTACTAAACTGAAAAATGCTTATATAACCTTATGCAGTTTTGAGTGCCGAAAAAAACCCGCCCCCCTCCAAACAACAACGACGACAGCAACAACAACAATAACAACAACAACAACAACAACAACAACAACAACAACAACAACAACAACAACAACATTGAGTCACCTGTTTTATCTTAGCGCGGTCCTGGGATAAGGGGCATTGTTGATTTGGTTGTGACAATTCTGTCTGCCCCGGTCAATATTAGTCGTAAGAGGCTCGAAAGACAAAAATGTGACATTCTATGCAATTTTTGTTGTTGTAGTTCTATTGAAAGTTTGATATCTTCTGCTTCACTTAAAATCAAAATAAACAACTATAATTGACTATAAGTATTTTATTTTGAATTATTTTGGAGGTGTATGTGGTTAGTTATGAGCTTGGGTGACGAGATTAAGGAGCCCATTTTCTCCTTTTCATGTTTCTGCACCGTGCACTCTTAAAAGTTCCATATTTTTGTCAAATATTGTCCGATTTACTTCATTTTTATTTTTAAATTGTAGGAAAATGGGGATAGTTTTTATAAATAAGGTTAACTTAATTTTGAAATTTCCTTCATATGACTGATTTTGACCGGGAGGGTCACATTATTGTGATGTTGTTATTGCGGGCTGTGACGACTGCGCAATGTGTAAAAGTAATTGTAAGTGGTTGTGGTGAGATTGGTGGTAATAGCAGAAGTGATTATAGTACCATGGTAAAAGCAGTGCGCACAAAATATTTCTTGTACACTATAATAGGAAAAATAATTGAACAACAAAGTGAAATTGTATTTTGTTGAACGCCCCTTTCAAAACTGTTTGGATATTTAAGAGGTGGGGCCCCGAATTTAACGTCCATTTCCTATAGGACCGAGCTCAGTGGGCTGTGACCCCCCCCCCCCACCGAAACAACTCTAGTTCAAAAACGGTCCCGTCAGGGATTCAAACCATAGTCATCCGCTCCATACGCCAATATGATACCAATTGAGCTAACGGATGCCTTACAGCAGTGGGGAATGAGAGCAAGAAGTGTGCTGGCGATGCAGCTTTCCGAAATCGAAATCGGACCGTTTGACATTTACGCCGTGATATCATTTGATGTAAAAAATCACACACCCCACCCCCGCCCCCAAAAAGGAAATCAATTAATTCATTAAATAAATAATCTTTTTAAAAAGGGTGACCTTATTTAGGCACATGTGGTTTAAATAAGCTAAACCCCCCTCCCTTACCTTATTTAGGCCACTGTGGCCTAAATAAGCTAACCCCCCTCCCTAACCTTATTTAGGCCACATCATGTGGTAGATTTCTTGAACTAAACATGGATTCGGAAGGTCGAGATTCTACTGATCATTTTATTTAGTGCGGGGGATTATTTCAAAATAGAGAGAGGATGATACTAAATGAAAAGTGGACCACGGGTAAGAGTTGTGTGTGTGTGTGTGTGTGTGTGTGTGTGTGTGTGTGTGTGTGTGTGTGTAATGTGTGAATGTTATTGTGTGCATGAGTGTCTATCTCAGTTGTACGGTCCAAATGTACCAAAATTGTAGCCTAGCTTTTGCCCCTCCATGAAGGAAAAATCTGTCCCTCATTCAAACCATTGGGATTGAGCAAAATTTTGCGTATTGTACTTTGTTCTTACAGTATTCATTATGATTATGATTTATAAGTTGTGCACTGAGACAAAACTGTACTAAATGAGAAAGGTGCACCATTATGAAAGTGGAACGAACTCAGTTGCCTGAAAAGGATAGTTTGAGCATGTGTGGCCTAAATAAGCTAAACCCCCCTCCCTTACCTTATTTAGGCCATATGTGGCCTAAATAAGCACTCCCTTTAAAAAAAAGTATCTAAGAACTGTAATTTGCAGTAAATCTCAATTTGTTCAGGATATTTAAATTTATAATAGAATAAGGTTTTGACTTATCACCGCACTTGTCGTTTACGCCAAGAAGAAAAGAATCCATAGGTTACCCTTGTGCACCTCCTCACACATAGTCTGTGTGAAGTTGCTCTTAGCGTACAGCGGTGCTGTTACTCCCATCTCACAGTCGGTCAGGAACTTGTCACTCGTCGCACACATGAACACCTCCTTTCGGACCCTGAATTTAAAAAAAAGCCCATAGTTTATTTATCATTCTAAAGAGCAATGAAAATCTTTCCACAAAGAGTAGCTGGGATCGAATACTTTGTCTTCATGGATGTGGAGGAAAAACCTAAAATGTTCAATCTGTTTGCTACAGTTGAAAGTTGAAGATTTGATAAGAGCAGGTCGATTAAATGCCAGCGAAATGGAAATTGAATGACATGAAATCAATGAAGTATGCCAAAATTGAAGAAACCATTGTTCGTATATGCATACATGAATAAGAGTATTTTTTCAATGCTTGTGGGACTCCCAGAAATGCGCGGGACATTAGGCTACATCCTAGCAGGGAAAAGACCACTCATAAACAAAACAGGTTTGAAGAACGTGCAGTGTGTTGTTCCTGAAATCTAGTGGGTGAGCGAGACCACCACCATCACCGCCACTAACAACAACAACAACAACAACAGCAACAACAACAACAACAACAACAACAACAACAGACAAAAACAAATTATTTGTATATTTGTACTTGGGTATACAGACGTATGCGCCAGACGGTTTGTCAAGGTAAAAAGGTTGTTTTTTCGGGGGGGTCTTAATGTTAATCGATGGTGAAATGTGCTGAGAACGTGACCAGCATTGTCATAGATGGTCATTAAATTAGAAGGTCTTGTCTCTTACACAACCCCGAAAGGCCCTTTGACCATATCATAATAGACCATACTCGGATAAGGATGAAAAATCTCGGAGGTTCAGTGTGCACGTTGTGAACGTTAATAAATATCCTTTAGTTGTTGAAAATCATAGAAGAGGGGCCTGTTAGGCCGCCATCCAGGTAAATATTTTTTAAAAATTAGAGATTCTTTACCGTAAAAAAATGTCCCTACCTCAGCTAAAAAATAGAAGACACACACTCTTACATTTCTTCATTCCAAACTTATCGACTAGGTCTATTCTTTCGAGCATGTGAAGTAAGTTAAGATCTAAAAAGAGATATAAATAGTACTTGCATAATGTACATCCTTTATGTGCATCGCCTGGGCAAAGTTGTATTAATCATACTGCTTTCGTCATCATCTTTAGTCATGATCTATACAGGCCTGTCGAGAGGGGGTGT